ATTTTATATCAGCACCGAGTCTTGTAGTACGGTATTATTATATAAACTGCCACTAGTTAAAAACTTGTATTGATTTTAAATTTTTTATCATATCAGACGAAATGTTAAAAATTTAAAATCGACAATTATAAGTTTGTACTTAGTGGTACTGTGTGAATCGATAAAAAATCAATATTGAAAAATGATTATAAAGATGGTCCTTGAATTTCATTTTAAAATCTTTGACCTGATAGTTATAACAAAAAATGCAAAGTCTGTGACTATGTGAGTGCTTGCCAAGGGAACATTGTAAGTACTAATTCAAATTCACACTACACCGGACTTAAATCAATTTTCTGAGGTCTGAAGTGATCATATTTTAAGTTTTTATTTATAGTTTCCCTTAGCAGCGCTTATGTGTCCTTGTTTATACTTATTTCCCGATACATTTAATAAGTGATTTATAGCATTCTATATTTATCCTTTGAGGGGATATTAAGATTTCAGACTTTGGATTTTCAAGAAAACTTGATAGTATGATAAAGATAAAGAGTAAAAATTTTTATTGCGTTGTTCCTTTTGTCGACCCTCAAAACTCGACAACTTTGAATATGTGTGCGATAAAAAATCCGATGTTTATAGCATGGGGTGCTTATGTGGGAGATATCAAATAATGGATGTAGACCATTTGCTTCAAGAAAAGACAGTACACTCGCAGCCAATATTATTGGAGGTTTACGTGAAACACTTGTCGAAGGGATACCTATGCATTACTTTAATCATTATATTGATTGTTGGAATAAAGAACGAGATTAATTTCCTTCCGTGGAGGAAGTTTTTCGGCAAGTGGAATTGAAATCCTTAGAATTGGATCCTAAGTACAATGCTGCTGATCAGTACTTTAAAGAAAATATTAATAATTCTGATTCTAAAGTCGCTGAGGCTGGTTTGTATTTGCGTGTATTACGCATGGATACATATACGGTACTAATAAATATAATTTATCTCTCATGAACTAGATAGTGGAATTCTTAAAAAGACTGGAAGTATAAATTCAGAATTGCGCATCGACAGTGAAATAATGTAATGTTCATTAATATTTATTTTATCGTTTTGACAAGGTTCTTTATACATATTTATACCTATAATTAATTACATGCACGATAATTAAAGAGTGTGAGTATTGGATTTTATATTAGCAAGGAATTATTGAGAAAAAACTATTTATTCTAATGTTCAAAATTACAACGCTAGAACTAGTGAGCTTAGATGGCTAGTTTGTGCCATTGCAAATAAAAAAATTAACTTCTTTGATTATGATGAATTCATTGGTAAAGAAAAGTTAGTAATAATGGAACCAGCTTAGTATACAAGTATGAATGGAAAAATAGTCGCTTTCAAAAGTTTAAAACTTGATATAGAAGAAAAGGAGGTATGAAGATGATTAATAGATTATTAAAAATTGTTTACAATTAAAATGAAATTTTATTATATTAATCGTATTAATTCAAACTACTTTGCATACATAAGCTACAACTCTTACAAACAATAAGTATTCATCCTAAAATAAATCATTTCTATGGTGTAACTAAAGGTTAGCACTTCGATTAAAATATAATTTGGGTAAGCTTGCTCTTTCATATTTGTAAACAGATCCTTTTGGAAGTTACTGATGGTTTTGCAATTTGCAAACGGCGGAAATTTGCGTAATACTGTATTTAGAACAAAATTTTTCAGTATTACAATGGAAAGATAAGTTTCGCATCGCAAGTGAAATAGCTCAAGGTCTCACATACTTACATAATAATTATATAATTCATAGAAATCTTGTAAGTATATCTTTATATTTAATTTTTAAATGCATTATATTTATTCGTGATTCTTTTGTAAAGAAAAGTATTGTTATAATAAAAGTTGGGGGGAATTTAATATAAGCTTTATAATAGAGCTGAATCCAGCTCCACCCACAAGGTAAGTCTTTTTTTTTAAGATAACCTTTCTTGAAGCTCTAATAAAAGTTGTAGAGCTAATTTTGTGGTTCTAATGGGTGTAAGATTGTTAAATTGGCCTGGTGGTTGCTGAGATATCTTAGCTTTTCTCTTTACAA